TGAATAAAATAATAAAAAATGATTATTTTCCCAAGTAAAATTGAAAAATAATGACATTTTGAATACGATAATATAAAAAAATGATTATTTTTCCTAGTGAAATTACAAAATATAATCAAATTCAGAATTAAATAATAAAAAAAAGATTTTTTTTCAATCAATAAATCAAAATAATCCGAATATTCATAATTATCCAATTATATTTAAATTTTGATTAAATATTAAAAAAAATATGCAAAAAAATAATCAGAATTTGTATTAAATAGTCAAAATTTGAAATTAAGTCACAAAAATTGAAAAAATAAACAGAATTTTGTATTAAAAAAAAACAAATTTTAAATAAAATCACGAAAAATCAACAAAAAGTGATTGAATAATCACAAAGTTAATGGTCTCAACATGCCCCTTGAAGTGAATGACTTTCCCCTTAGAAAAACCCTTCATGTTGCCCAATTTATTGATTCCCAGTGGCAAAGGGGTTGAGTGGCAGTGGCACTTCTTGATAGATATATGTACACTGCAACCACTCAGGGTTTGGAGTATATCAAAACTATTCCACTCTCAGCAAGGAATGCACGAGGGAAGAGATATTTTCTTCATCTGCAGCATTTGATTTCGCTGCTGGAGAGCATCTGAAATGCTAAGGAGCTTCCCCAGACACAAAAGTCTTGTCACCGCGACGTGCTCAAATCCTCAAAGGTGATGGCGGGTAAAAATTCAAAACAACCCCCGCAAAACCGTCTTCGCCCAGAGCTTTATGTGTCGCTGGAGAACAATAAAGTGATAGAGTTCTTGCCGCGCTGCAACTTTCTCTCGTTGCCATTCATGAGGATTCCCTTTGCACGCTGTCGTGCCATCAAATGTCAGTGATGAGCTTGTGACTTCTTCTGAAGGAATTTCACCTGTCGGAGTGGGATTTTGTTTATTTCTGCAGAATATAGTTAAACTATTGGAGCTATTGTAAAAGTTGATTCGAAATGATTAAGGAAAAACTTAAGATATTTGCTGTAAAAGCTTCTTGTTCACAAATTTGCTACTTAAATATTTTTATTTTAATTATTTCAGCAAATTTCCCTTCTCTTACACTATGTAGAGTCCCTTTAAACTCCCTAACACTTAAACATTTCTCAGTTTGAGTGAGAATCGCTCCAAAGATGGATTTACGATTTTCTTTTTCTCAAAATGATTCCGAGGTATGTTATTGAAGTTTCGCAACATATTCTCTGCATTGAGCCAAGTGGAGTCAATTTGTTAATTTGCGCAGAAATGTTGGCCATGAAATCCACTTGATCCCCTTTTGATACCCGCGCCAGATGCATTGCACAAAGACACGGAAGGTTGCAAGTGCAAGGCGTTGAATTGCGTCTGAGAGCTGCCTTTGAGGGCGCAGCGGAGGGATGTTTACAGTATAAATAAGGGGTGTGGGTGGGAGAATAGATACTGAGGACAGAGTTGGAGTAGTTTCATTTCACGGATGGAGCGTTTTAACACTCCCCCATTACATTCTCGACATCCGGAATCGCTCTACTGAGGCACGTTTGGAGTGCGCGCGCGGAAAGTGAAGCGGTTTGCTGGATGGTGAGCTTTCCATGCCCTTCGCCGAGAGCTTATGCATGCACGTATAAACGAGCTTATTTCACCTCCACGCTTTTTATACGCCACCTCGCTCAATCCATGAGCTTCGCGGATGCCTCTATTGTTCCGCCGCCACCCCCAATCTTCGCCCAACACCCCCGACTCACGCCCGCGCGCCACTCAAATGGCATAGTTTTATGTCCACAAAATTGCATTGTTCTCCAAACTACAACCCCACTGGGTAGGGATGAAAATTACATACATATATAGGGAATCGTGATGCAAAAAAAAAACGAGAGATTCTTAATGAGAATTTGTCGTTTTCCCAGTTTAAATTCCCATTTCACATCTCTCAAATATCACGTTCACTGCCATTTTTTCCGCGCTGTACATTTTCAAGGAAAAAAATCATTTCACTGATGAATGAGTTTACTTTTTGTTCACCACTCTTGTTGCTCATTCAATTAAAATGCTCTCATGCACGGGGAAAAACTTTCACTCTCCGAGATTTCATATGACAATGTTCCCATTATTTTGTACATGAGTACTCGTGGAGGGCAAAAAAAGCACCCCCTCGCACACCCCTATTAATTACAATACCCAGAGAAAGGAGCAGCGGAAGAATGCGAATGAAGAGGAAGTATTTTCTTTCATTTACACACTGGAACAATGTGGGGAAAAAACATTAGATGAGGTAAGTAGGAATGGACAGAGTGTCCTAAAGAGCCGGAATGGAGAGCTGAAGCGGAGCTGCAACATATATTGCCAGTTTAATTGTACATTCTTGCCATCCTCACTGATCCCAGTAAAAATTCAATCCGCTGTCCATCGTTTATCCTCCGTTTTCCGTTGTGTTGCAGAATTCCTTAAGGGAATCTCAACACAGAATCCATCTCTTATGAAAGTCCATTGAATATGACTTCACCAATATTTCCGCTGGATTTCTGCAGGAAATACCATTGAAAATCATTTGAAAATAGACCCAAAATATAATGAGAAATGTCTGTTATACACGTGCTTAAGAGGTAAGGAAAAACAATGGACTTTCCTGCGGGAATCCTTCTGCTGCTCTTTACTGGTGTTCGCCAAGCCTTCGTTCCACTAACTACAAGACTGCACTTAGATGTGTTTTATTTTTTAGCGGAAATACACATTGAGAAGATGAGGATGGAGTGGAGCAACAGCAGACGGAAACCAATTTGGTGGGTGAAATAAATCAAAAAGCTCTCCTGATAGCGTGAAAGTTCCTGAATAGCAGGTGAAGGAAACAAATTGGCGCACAAAGTGTGCTTTTGAAGGCAGCTCATTGGCAATACACACACAAATACTCTGCATTCCTCCTAATGATACCAAATTTTCCATCGCACAAAGGATGCATCTTGGAGTGTGCGAGAGAATATGAAATTTTTATCACACTGTATAAGAACAGGACGAGAAGAGAGGAGGTGTCCAAAAATCAGCATAATTGGACGAAGAGATGTAAAAAGGGGGAGACCGTGAAAATACCGGAAAAACTGCAGCACAAAGTTGGGGAGATGGCAAAAGCTGTCTGCCAACGGAGATTCTCTGACGAGCAATAAAAGCCAGAAGGGGAGAAGAAAAAAGCGAGTAGAATGAAGATTAAATCCCTTGTCGCGAACTTTCACTGCCTCCAAGCTATTTTATTTCTCTCCTCTGACACCCATAAGACGCCTCGTATTTTCCTGTCAACAATTTCCCACATGCATGCACACATTATGAACTTTCACCGCCCCAACCAATACGCCTCGCTCTGTCCAATCAGAAAAATTTATCACACCTCCAGAGAGCATGATGAGACTTCCACAGGTATTTCACGGTAACTTTCCTCCCACATAAACAACATCGCCCGAAACTTTGTGCTGTGTGGAAAAATTGCCCCGCAAGTTCAATATGTCACGAGATCCTTTTTCACGGGATCTCAGAATAAACGCAAGACGACCTGACTGATGTGGCATTTAAGCGGGGAGACGTTATCAAGCAAAATCTCAATAGTATTTAGTATAGGAAAAGCCGCACGCAGTAATTTATAAAAGACATTAAAAATTTAAATTGATGGCTCATCAATCAGACGATGTTTGCCATAGTTTATGTGTCAAATTGTGGGTGTTGGATGTCCTTTTAGAAAGGATCCCCTGAAGTCAAATTCCAATTGAGAGCCATTAAGTCTTCATACGCTTAATTCTCATCATCGATTGCACACTCAACTTCGCTTCACTGCAAAACTACAACGAACTTTAGCCATATGATCCGAGGCAATTTCATGGTAAATGCAATGTAATACTTTTGAGTCTCGGGGAGCCTGAAGGAAAGTGATTTGCCATGGGTGACTGATGCTTATTTGAATGGGAATAAAAGCCACCCCTGCCGCTCAACATCTGAAAATCCGAAATAAAACAATCTCTACTCACAGCCAGATTTGCTTCCTCTGTGTCAATATTTGTCCAATGTAATTCTATTTGTTCAGCTCTCTTTGCATTCCAGTGGCAAACAGGCGAGCATGAAAAAAAATGTCCTGCCCAAAGTCCCCTCGAGAGTTGGAGAAACGCGCCGTCTCAAATGTTTCCTCCTTGGTCCACACGAATGAATTCAAATTAAAAATTATCCTGCAAGTCACTCTTAATTTTTAATGCAAAATTTTAATGAGGAATTTTTCCACCAAAATTTTTCATATATGCGAAATTAATTTCCCCACTTTTTTTTTCGCCTCTGCGATGCTTTTCGTGTCACTGTCACCCATCGCAAATACATCACGCACTGCAATATTCAATACCATTTACATCGGTGTGATCGTTAAATATAATTTTTATTTTATGGTTTTACTGCAATAAAGTGCTTGAGAGGGAAAAATGTGATGGGGCAAAAAAGTGTGTGGCAGCGTAATGGGAAAAATGATGAAATTTAAATTTAAAAACATCGACTTGAGGAATAAAACAGAAAGCAACTGGTGCGAGAAGGGTATCAATAATCCGGTGAAAAAAAGAGTGGATGAGAAATGAAGAAATGTGCTCAGTGGAATAGAAAAAGAATTGTGTCTGGAGAAATGTAGATGCAACCTGACAGGAATTGCTAAAACGCGCTTCGAGAGACTTAAGGAGATTTTTCAAGAAGAATCTTTCATTATTTACTCGACATTTGGCCAAACGGCGACGGAATGTTGTATTTGAGTGTGGGTGCGAATGCTGAAGGAACACAAGTTTTCCATTAGACGTGAGATATTATCTTCTCAAAAAATACATCTTATATCATTAAACAAATTCACAGAGTGTATTTGTGTATTTATTGACGCTTTTGCGTTTCCCAGCTTAAATGCAGACACATTCCTTATGCCAGTTCAATAGAGACTTTGAGTTGATACTTGAGATGCAACCGTAAGTGTGAAGAATTTTATACTTGTTCTCACTTACCTTGATAGACAATCAGCTGATAGGTAATTGCTGCGAGAAGAAAGTTGAAAACTTCCATTCTTCCTTGTCATGCACGAGTCACAGGATGTTGATGTTCGGTGTGGATTCACCTCAGCAATTGTTCCAAGAAATTCACGTTCTCATCTTACAGGATATCTCTCAGTCTGGTGCAATTCTTCCAACCTTCAACCTCATAATCGTCTCGTGTGAATCATACTAGAAAACTTTTACCCCAACTCTTAACTCATGTTCCTCACTATCAATATTTCCACCACAATTTGTTTACTTTCTCAACACCTGCAAGAAATCAGAGTTGATAAGAGATTATTAATGAGGATTAAATTAACCAGATAGACGAGAGAGATTTTCATTTATCTCCTTAACAGCTTAAGAAAGCACAAATACAACAACAGGAGAAGTCATTAAAAAGCTGCATTGTAGATTCCACTTAAGGGCAAACCTCAAGGATATTTATTAAAGGTGAAGTTGCTGGCCACATCACGATATTGAATGTGTACGGCTAGAAGCCCAGGTAATACATATTCCCCAGTATTTTTAAGGTTACACGATAAGAGCCTCAAACCAAGGGAGAGATAATACAGTCAGAAGTGGTGTACAGCTCAGCACAAGTACTTAAGGAATGGAAGTGTTGAAAAACCTACAATATTCCATTCCTACGTTCTTCTTTTGCTGACTAATCATCTAGATTTTCTGAATTCCCTTCGATTTTCACGCAGAAACAAACGTACAAATCTTTCTAGATTATGTAACGAATTGAGGAAAGATTTAGTGAATAATTCGCATTTTAGCACATAAATTCTGCTAGTCTTTGACAGAATTAAACATTTGTAAGCAATTAACAGTGCTTCTTTTAACCTTTGGTGTCAAGAAACAGTGCAAATTGTGCTAAAATTAAACATAACCTCAAAAGTAGTCATTTGGACTTGGAAAATGTCCATTTAGACAACTTTCTGGATAATTTTGACTGTGAATCAGCAATTTTAAGATCATTGGCAAATCATAAGAGATGTTTTTGTGATTTGGAAAGCTTTCGAAGATCTCCTAATTATATTTTTGAGGTTATGATCAGAAAGATGTCCAAAAACAGCGGTTTTAAGTTGATTTTGATAGAAATATCGAATGAAACCTCAAGAAATTCATTGTAATTTGGGAATAATGTGGAAACAGACTACAAATTTCATGTTCTAGAAGTGTCAGGCAAATTTGGAAGTGTTTGGAAGTGGTGTACAGACTTAAGGCATATTATCTCTGCCTTGCCTCAAACTAGCATATAATGTTTGTCTGCTGCTTAAATAAATACCAAAACGAAATGCTCACTCTGTCTGCGAGCGAAGAAAATTTCTCATGCATTCCTATGTAACAATAAATTAGAAACAAGATATACGCTGAAATGCAATAAATTCAAACGAACGCAGATGAAAATGTGCACATTCGTGATTTTCCGATTACATGTGTTATAATTCCACCCACTTGGCATTTAAAGTTTTGTGCAAAGAGTGTGAGAGTGCATTATCAAATGTATGTTGGTTTCGTATTTTCATTCGTGTATTAATTAAATTCCACTTGAATCCCTTTCAACTCACCATTCAACCCAAACATTTTCACCCACTCTGAGTGCGGGGGGAAAATGGCCAGTTTGAAATTGCTGAGAGATTCTCATCACCCCAAACAATCTCCCCAATAATACTCAAATTGGGATACTTCTCACTTGGCAGAGATCAAGTTGCACTTCCAAATGTCTTGGCCAATCCTCTTTGTTGCACCGCACACACTTTGCCCTCGAGTTGCTCCGCTCGCAATGGCTGGAAAATCAAGGAACCGAGCACGGATATCAATGGAAATTGCCAGCAATCAAAACTCTGCTGCAATATCCACTAAGACCTCTTCTCAGATGGCATCAGCCAGCAGCGCCTCTAGTTAAATGAATATCCATTGCAAGGAGCTTTGAGATATCTAATCGTACTTTGTATTTCACTCAAGCTGCTACTGGAGAAGAAGGCACAAATCTTGCAAGGAGTGCAACTGAGATTATTTCAGAGACGAGTGAAACATCGGTTAAGTTTGCATGTGCTTAAACTTAGTAAATGAATCAATAATGATGTGATAAGTCTCAATTTAAACGAGACAACAGATTGCAGCCAATCATAAGAGAATGCAATTTCTTGTCTTCTTACCCTTAATTCTTAATTATTATTATAGTACAGACCTTTGCAAGTTCTTATTGTCCTTTCACAATCGTATTGTGACGAGTTTTGCCTCATTTGCCCTTAATGGAGCCACATGAGAAATATATGGAGCAATTCTCAGTCACACGCAGACATGTTAAACTTCAAACATGTAAAAGTCTAACATTCGAAATGAATAAGAACAGCCTGTGTTATTCTCGCGAAAACAATGTGTTAGAGTTTAAAACACCACCACAATGTGTAAGAGAGGAAAAATGGTGAAATTTGCCTAAATTATAAAAATTCAAGTAAATATTTAGTAAATCTACGATAAAAAGAATTTACTGCAAACATCTTTCATGTTCATGTTTGAAAATTATAGTCACAATGACAGATTGATCCATTATTGCAAGATATTCGCAGATTCAGATCTGTTATTCTGCTTTTTATACATTCAATGAAACAACTTCTGGAGATCGTGTTAATATTAATACATTCAGGCAAATGAAAATGGTTTAAAACATGTGGACCAACATAGACAATAACACAAGTAGTAAAATTTTAAACACAAGCGCCATTTTTAGCCTTACATGTGTGACTCAGAATAGCAAAGGCGTGTGTTAAACCAATTTAACACATTACTTGTGTGACTGAGAATTGCGCCAATATTTTACACCGTATTTTAAGTCACAATTCCCCGAATGAAAATGTGAATTTTCGTAAAAGTGTTTTATGTTAAAGACAGACACTTCAATTGAATTGACGTGTTTGAAAATCAATTACTGTGTGAAACAGAGAGAAATATTGTGGATAAATTTCTCTTCAAGTATACACTTGAGTTAATTGAAATTAATATTGTGTGTTTAGAATTTGCCTAATTGTGTTGATTTGGGGTGGAAGTGCTTCTGCAGCCGGGGTAAATTGGGTGTGTAAAGTGAAAATCTTCAATCCAAGCCCTTCGAGGGTTCTTCATAGGCTCCCTATTGTGCTCCTCAACAGACGCACACACACACCGTGTTCAATGTGGGCTATTTCAAATGAAATCTCTTCCGTCAATATTGAACTATTTCAGGTGAATCACAAAGAAGTTGAAGTGTATCAATAACTGCTTGTCCCACATTTCACGGTGACGTTGAGCCTCATGAGCTTGCCAGAGCCAAATGCAAATGCGATGCTGCGATGTGTTCAAAGGATTTATTCACCTGTTTCAGCACTTGTGTCAATTCAAGGTGAAATAATTAAGTGAATGAAAGCCTCATGGCTGTAATTGGGGACAGTGCTTAAAGTGCTTTTCGAGAGACAGAGAGAGAGAGAGAGTGAGAGAATGGACAGCGAAAAATCCTCATGAAAACTTTATTAATTGAATTGTGGTTCAATTGAAGACTATTCACTGAAATAATTCACAAACAATCAGGAATAAAAAGTCCTTGCTGTGCACATTCAGAATGTCGCAATGGAAATACCACTCGAAACACAGTGTGTTGAGAGTGAAATAAATATTTGTCTCACACATGTTCTGCAGTTGAGAACATTTTCCTAGGCGAGTTATTTAATTGAGAAATTGTTGCAGCATGATTTGCACCCATTTTGCTTAGCAAATGCGCTGTATTTTCGCCTGGGAAATTCATGTGAGAGGAATTAATAAGGAATTTGCTTGAAATTGTTTTAGCTTTCTCATATAAATTTTACACCCTATTGAAATATCTTGCTCAGTGATTTCTCTCACACATACTCAGGGAACTTTTTGAGGTTGAGACAGAGCTTTTGGCGATGTGGAAAATTTCGCATTCTGGGCTCTGGGAGAGGGAGAGATATTGGAGAGAGTCACCACGGAAAGTATGCTTCTGCCCACATTCATCTATTTTCTCTTACATATCGTGAATGTTTTTCAGGGGAAAAAAGCCAGATATAGAGTGAAGCGGAATGCAAATTTAACCATACAACAAATAGACGAAGAACAAAGGATCTGTGTTATTACAATTTTCATAGTTTTATCCGCATTATACATATATCTATTTGCGTATTTTTTCACAACTTTTTTTCATCTGTTAATTCTAGAAGTTACACAAGGGGCTAATAATTGAGAGATGCAGAGTGTTGGGTGAATTAGCGCTCATTTCACCCATTCTAGCAACGAGTATACAGACTGGAAGCATTAAAAACTTGCAGAAACATTTGTGTTGAATTTATTCCAGGAACTTTCAATGGCGCCATAAACGATTGAAAAGAGGCAGAATGCATAGAAAATAATTTTAATTTGTCACATATTCCCTTAATTCGTAATCCCCTCAAACAGACAAGGATCGCCTGATGTGGGAAAAAGTATTGCATACATGAAACATATTAAAATACGCAAAGCTCTCCATCTGCTCAGCTTTTTCGACCAACATCCAATCGGGCTGTGCAGAGAGAGGCTCGGTGAAAGGAATACAATAATAAAGCATGGCAGAAAATGAAAAATAGTGGCAGAGATTGATTTTTTTGCGAATGAGAAACCCGGGGATGAAGACAGAAAGCGATACTCATATTTTTATGCCATGCAAATATAGGGATGGTTTATATGGGAATATATTCTTGTGGCGATAGAGTTTTGCGGAATAGATGGGGTCTGGCATTCATGTTGCAGATGAAATGTGGGTAAGTCTATGAACTGTGAAATATATTTTCAGGTCAACGGAAATGTGACCGCTGCGGTTAATAAAATTGAATGTTTATGTGGTTGGAATGTAATCGAACGGGAGGGTGGCTGAAGACATTGAGGGTCTTCCTAGGGGGGGTGTTGGAGAATATGCTATCTCTCGCCTCATGAGGACAAAAAAGCACACACGTTCGTGCACATGTGATTGTCCTTTGTGTCTCTTTTGCCGTTTACCCACTCCCCTGCCACCCCTCTTGTCACCTTCCGCCGCCCACGGAGGCAAGAGGAGCCCGAGAAATCGACACTGAGTGTGGAGGAAATGCCATCGCCACGTGAGGACGATGGCAGAAAAGCGGGCGGAAAACTATCGAGAATCACCATTAAATTTTTCACTAGCTCGACAGGCTCGACAGAAAGAGCTGGGAAATCTGTTGCTCTCCGTATTTATGGTGCGAAGAAGGCGCCCTTCTTCGGTGGAGCAGACCAGGAGAATTCTCGGCGATGCAGGAGCATCTCGAAGAACAATTTCCTCACGTAAATTTGTTTGTACAGCAAACTGAGGGTAAATAATGTACAACATGTAATTCAACTTTTGCCACCCCCTCCCGCCCAGCCAGTGAAGTGTGTATGAGCTCTCTCACTCGGGTATTTGGCAGGGAAAATGAGAAAAATTTACTTACTTGTTTTCCTCTGTCCGACACTTGGTGGGAGAGCCGCAAAAAACTCGCTGCTGAGACAGGGATGAAAACTCAAAGAATTACACTTTTAACACCTCTTGTATCACGGGAAAAGCGCCGGACGTGGGGAAGTAGTCCATGGAATTTGGCAAGGAAATATTTTTCAATTACGACAAGAATTCACACAAGACTCCCGCCAAACGGCCGATACGCTGGATGCCTTCCGCCGCGCTGTTGAGTGAATCATTGCCAGCTCTGCCCATTATAAATCAATTCGCGTGACACTTTTGTTGTTTATGCCCAAGTCCTCCCCACCGAAATGGCTCCCAATCTTCTCTTCTTCTTCTCTTCAGGCCCTGAGACAGCAAACACCCGCAAGCCGTCAATGTTAAATCTTCGATGATGCTGCAAAGCGGCCGCGATTCTCGGCGGCGCGTGTGAAATTGTTCCGGTCGCGCGCGACGTCCTCACAGGTCGGAGTTTGGAGTTCGACTGCCGAGTGGCATGTCTGCTGACTGCCTTTCACCGGCAGCTGGTGGGGTCGAGGGGCGGCAAATTGGCCAGGATGAGGTTACAATGCACCGTCGACTACCCTCGCGCCGGCGTTCTGCTCCTTCCGTTCACTATTTGTCAGACAAGCCTCGGCGTTTTCGCGCGCGCTGAGGCTCACCGTGCAAGAACTCCTCACCCACGGAGGCCCACACGTCACCCCCAAAATCACCCCACAACCCCATCGGGACCTCGCACAGAGTCCATCGACAGTGCAATTGAGGAGCTCAAACCCCCCAGAAAATGCACATACGCTGCACCGAAAGACGCGAGACGGAAGCTTTCTGCAAAAGTGACTTTACATAATTTATCACTCGGGGCGAAAGCTCAACACACACTGTGTACAAATGACACTTGAAATTTTTCCATACACTCCTCCGGCACTCGAGTTGATCTCGACAGTTTGTTGTTTCATTATTCTTCAATTGTATTTTAATGCTCTACCCCGAGGAGGGTTGAAGAGATTTATTTTAATTCGTATGCTGGATAGAGTTTAATGTGTGAGAAATCGGATTAATCGATGGATTTTTCCCAAACTTTAACGAATTGAAGAAGTTTGTGCAACCAATTTCTGTGGTTGTAATTCCTCAGATTGATCTTCAGCTATTGACTTTTTATTAGAATCTTGATGGAATCTCCAAATCTGACAAGATGTTGTGAATTCAATACTCAATATTGACTTTTTTGGGGATAAATTCGTGGCTCTAACTGCTCTAATTTCCCCTATAAGTATTAAATTTAAGCACTGATGTGCATATAGCTAAAGCCACATCATCAGAATCTCACCCTACTTTGGTTTCATCCAAATGAGCTTTTTCTTGGATTCCCAACACTTGTGCAAAATTCATAATTTGGCTAATCTCTCTTGAAAATTTTGCGGTGAGAAGTGGTGAATTTTCAGTAAATTAATTAAAAGTGTTACAACTTTGCGAGCGGAGATAAAGAGCAAATCCTCATAATAGTGAAAGTCTGGTCACTCTCTCTCATTATCGTCAGACACACGGACTGCTAAACATCCGGCGTGGGTGAATCTGGGGCAAATCTACCTGGAGAATTTGTATTTAGCGACAGCGAGAGTGCAGGGGAGCTTTTTGCGGGGGATATAATGGACATGTGATACTCGTTTGATGTTTGTCCAGAATTTCTCCCTCGCAAATATGAATTGAGCGTTTGTGGATAAAAATTTCGGGGGGTGAGCAAATGTGAAACTCTTCTCGTGGCTCGAGTGTGAGGTTGAGACCATTATGTGAATTAGCAATCTTTTGAAGATTTCACTCAGCAATCTCATTCCGAAACCATGAGATTTTAAATCCACACACACACACACAGATAGACTCAACCCTACTGTGGAGTGGTGCTTTATGGCCTTAAAGCCAAAAAGTATAACTTTCTCCTTTTGAATATTACATGAGATATACACTATTACGTTAATTTTATTTTCAATGGTGGGAAAACTTTACGAGCGGGAGTGAATTTAGTGTGCTGTGAGCTTAAATAAATGCCCCAATATATAACTAGCGGTTTATTAAATTAAATGTTGTCTATTTTTACACCATGCTTTTAATTTATTATTCCCATTGCTGTTCTGGGTATTGTTGGCCGCCCATGTTAAACTGCCACCTCCCGCCGCACAGCCGCCGAGACTGAGTGAATACACAAGAGTCGTGTGGAACATTTATTTTTTCGGCTTGCCTCCAAGGAGGAGATAATGCGGCCAAAATGAGCGCATCACAATTTCTGTGCAGAATCACACACACTTTCAGAACTCTGGCAGTTCCTTTTCCGGAACTTCATACATTTTTCCAATCGTCTAAAGCATCATAACCTCAAATATAGGAATCTTCTTGTCCAAAAAGACGCAATCTTTATACTTGTGAGGCTCTGAAAACTTACTGAGAAACAGTGTTTAGGAAATACTTGAAGTTTCCAGCGAATATTTAGCTGTGATACAATTTTCAATCGCTCTTTTGGGCGCATTTTGGAACATAACCTAAAAATTTTCTTGAGTTTTTTATAAAAAATCCTTGAAAAAAACTTTTCCGAGCGTTTTCAATGCAAATTTGGGGAATATAAATCTGTTGAAAATCAACAATGAGTTGAAATTTACATTTTTTTATAGTAGAAAATCAATCAAACTGCTGTTAAAATAGACAATTTTGTGTTCTGAAACTATATTTTAGAGGTTATGAACAATCTTAGCTTAATTAATACTTTTTAACACCGAATTCTTGTGGTCTTCACCAGATTTCATTATTTTTGTGGCAATAAATGCAAATTATTCTAGTTTTGGTGCAAGAATGAATGATTTTGAAGATTATTTAGTGTCAAAATGTGTCTCAAATTAATCACACAACCTAGAAAGATGTAAAGAACATTTCTTTTTCTCCAAGTATTGCTTGAATATTACGGAAATATTCAAGCTCTTCTACTTCCAAATACATCTGGTCATAATATCTCCCCCTTGGTTGGTACATTTGCATTATATCAAATTGCCAGATGAGGAGAGAGGGAAACGCGAGCAGGTGATGTCCCGAGGGTGAGTTTTTCGCAATTTGTCTCAAAGCCCACCCGTAATGCTCTAAGGATAATTCCGTCCTTATTGTCACATCATGTGAGATGCAATTGCTATGAAGATCCGAAAAGACCAAGGAATCTTATTTTTCATAAGCAAGAATATGAATACTTCAGAGTGATTATGAGCAGCTTGTCGGGAAGGTGGCAACGTCAATGGCAATTTCGTCGCTTGTCCGTCTCCCTCGGGTTCCTCTTTCCCTGAATAATTTAAATGAGTTGCACTTGTTGTAAAATTGAATTTCTTAATAGCAGTGAGTGCATAACGAAGTTGATCGTTTAGTGGGTAGTTGGAGTTTCTCTGGTGTTACTGGAGCGGAAAAGTCTCGAGAAAAGTAGCCAGTCTCCGTGGCGGGATTCAACTTCTTGCACCTCACACTGCTCTGCCAAGTGAGCAGAGTTGAGAAGGCTGCAGATGAGAAAAAGACTGAGATGAATTCCCACAGTGGAGCCAGTCTTATCAATTCCCACCTCAACTCGCTCAGCTGCATGAGGAACAAGTGAAAATTTATTCAAAGTTTACACCGTAGTCTTCTTGGGCAATATTTTGCTAATAATGTTTATGATTTTTGTGCATCCACGGCCATGGAAATAAAGGACGTGCTAAAAACTTCCACATCGTGTGCGGGTAAAATTAGACGAAGATGCCAAGAATGAATTTGCTATTTACTCAAGGAAAAATTTCACTTCTTTATGCAATTTACTTTGGCATCTTCTCCGCCGCTCGGCGCATAAATGAAATGTTTATTCTAGCTGAAAGGTAAGTGTTGGGCGAAGAAAAAAGCTCGTTGTGAGGCAACTTTGCTCGTCTATCTCACCGCCTTCATGGTATCTTGTTATTATCCACCGTGCTAAAACTTATTCGCAGTGTAAATAGAGAAAATGAATTCGATAAATACTTCTAATAGAGGCGCTGAATGGAGGCAGTCAGGTGGGCACCAGGCGTCTCCACTTGAGGATGCTGAAGTGCTTTCCGTGGGTGGTGGGATGGAAGCTCTTATATGCGCCCAGATGACGAGAGGCTCGGATCACGTCACTCTTCCGGCTCCCGGCAATTGCAATTCCAACAACTGAGATTGTTGCTATTACTCAAAAGTTGCGCTGCAACTGGAAGGAGAGCGAGAGAGAAATTCGAACATGACAGTAAATTTCGGAGTTTTGCATGAAAAACCGCTTTATCAGAGTGGAAATAACACAGTCATGTGGCGCACTTGCTCAAGAAACAACATTTTTCTCGGTCACAGAACACAATTTATCTCTGGCTGCACATAAAAATTCCAAGGGCGCACACACATCAAGCCCACACCCTCCGCGGCCCTCGGGCCATATCGACAGAGCTATTATTTATTTTCATGCCAATTTCAGCACTTTACATGCGCTCATATTTGAATATTGAAAATTGCATTTATGAGTGGCTTCAGCCCAATATGTGTGCCACGAGAGAGAGTATATCTTGGGCAATATGCATATTGGGTATGGAAAGTTCCTCTGTCGCCGCTGTGAATGAATGAGTATGTGGGACAATTTATGAGAGCTTTTCCCATGATGATATTTCAGATGCACAACACCCAGTTTTTTCCAGCGCCGCCGCCTCCAGAGACCTCTTTTTTCCACCTCAACACACACTCACACTTTAATTACACTCCGAGGAAATTAAATTAAAATATTGAGAAATTTCCTCAAAGCTTCACCCAAACTTCCAGCGAGCAGAGCGTACTTTTTTTGTTCCCCAAATCTCCTGAGTGGAATGTCGGTTATATCCAAATAATTGCATTTGGGTATCTATGCATGAAGCACAATCAATTTCTCGAATATGATTTTTCCACACTGTTAGATCTTCTCCCTTTCACACATTTATCTCGCCGCTCTTGCTGTGTCGACTTTGAGGAAGTTTTATTGGAAAACACACCGGGAAAAGCTCTTGACAAGAGGGGTGAAAATTGATTGCAAAAATTGGCCCGATATCATCTCGCTCAGAGCCACAAACTTTTTTTTTCCCCACTCAGTCGCTTGTCGAATTCTATTGATTTTTGCAGAAGCACCCAAAAAAAAAACTGATGCCATCACCAATTGACTAATTAATTGGCTGATTTGTCAACTGAATATCACTCGGGGTGATATTAATAATGAAGCATTGGCGGCGAATCGGGAGAATTGCTTTGGGCACAAAAATTCTATCCGTTTTTGATGGGACAAAATTCTGTGAATTTGAGTGTAAATTACTCCATGTAAATTACATTGGAGTAGAATTTATTGCATGAAATGAACTTCATGGCATGTTTGGATTCAAGGGCATTTTAGAAATGATGAAATCATGGGTTTTGTTGCTATTTTGACGGGTGAATTGGATGAAATTTTG